TTGTGTTAGATGACATAATTCAATGTAGAATTAAGTCATTCAAGATTAATAAAATAAGGCAGAGTATTATTCAGGTCTTCAAGTTCTTTGGTCGAGTATTGTTAAGATATTGAAAACCGGTCGATATCTGTTTAGGTACAGGTGGAGTAACGGTCAAAAATAGGTTTGTAATGTACCATAAAACAAGTGGTCACATAAATGTTGCTGTCTTTTTATAATCTGTATGATGCTTGTAAGTATAATTCACTTTTCTTTTTAATATAACGTAAAATATTTTTCAAAGAAATTGTTAACAAAAATGTCGTTAAAGGATAATCCCTTGCATAATCACTTGAAATAACTATTAAAATATTGTATATGAGTAGCTTGAGGTGCAGGACATGCTAACCATTTCGAAGTACCTTACGTTTTGATGGTGTTTGTGTTTCTCAGTCTTCAGTTTTCTATGTTGCGATTTTTTTTACCCTTTTATTGTCTTTCGATCGTTTTTCATTTTTTTTTTAGTCATGGCTTTGTCAATTTATTTTCTTCTGGTGAGTTTGAAAATCCTTTGGTATCTTACGCCTCTCTCTTAACAATAAATATATCATTCCGATTGTTTTTAGATTTCATCTTCACCTGATACTCACCGTATATTGGTACAGTACTTATCATGATAATAAGTAAAGTTACAGTAGCGTAGGCACAATACTGTTGATATGATATTCCTAAAAAATATATAAAGAAACAGTAGTACATTGTAAACCGCTGTTCAATAGTCATAATTCGATTAAGCAAAAACAAATCCGGGTAAATAACTAAAACAGAGGGAAACACATCAACTATAAGAGGAAAACAACGGAACGACAAAAACACTGAACTACAACAAAAACAAACGCCAACATACTTAGAAACTGACTGTCTGATAACAACTGCAATATTCCTGACTTGGTACAGGACATTTTGAGAAAACAAATGGTAGGTTGAACCTGATTTTATGGCTAGCCAAACCTCCAGTATATAACAGTATATACATATTTGATATTGTATGAACGTAACCTTTTAGTTTGCAGGTTAAATTTTGAGTAAAATATAGAAACGTTTAACCTTAAAGAATAAATAACAACACAAATGAAAACAATTGTGAAAACCCTATTCTTCTTACAGTAAAGTATATATATTTATAAATAGGGATACTTTTTATAAACGCTTAAGACTATAACTATCAAACGCTTTCAAAAAGTAAATGTTTAAAAAGAGTGTTCAAATGAGACACTGTGAGTCTGTTAGGGGTGATGCCATTTGTGTAATGATAACGAAAAATAATCATCAATACATTACCTTTGTTTGCGTATTCTGTTTTGTATTGTGTTACGTTTATCCTGCCTCTTACTGATGGTGCTGATTTGTTGCTTTCAGGTAACCTGTAAAATATTATTAATGTAAAAACTCCTCGATTTTATTTCTTGATAGCATCAAAACAATTGTTGAAGATATTTTCAGAAAAGTCACAAACAGATCAGTGCTGTTCTTATATATGTTTCTCAAAACTTTCAAAAAGTAGTAGGTATGATCTTTTGTAGATGCTTGAATTTAAATATCAAGACGTATTGTAATTTTCAAAATAACATCCTTCAGATGTTCAAAAACATAGGTCGGTTAGACATCGTGGTTCATATTTTGAAAATATGCCTCGTTTTTTCCTGCATCACGGTATCAAATTTTAGCGAAAAACTGCAAACACTGCCACAATATCTTCATTTCGAGACTTATTATATAATTTTTATCCCCCAAAAATACATGTCGTTTCAATGTGTGTTTTGTTGAAAGGTTAATATGTGCAAACATGCTAATTTTGGCATTTAACGACACCATATTGATATCATACATTACCTTTCTGTGTGTCGGAATTACATTAATTAATTCCTTTAAAAAACGGTGCCTTATTTTCTTATGAAGGATGAAGTCTGATTACTTAAGTCAAAGAAATAATTTTCAGCGATGTATCCCATTGTTAAACCCTGATGAAGTGCGCATAATGAATGAGTTTCTCTGAGTGCTTTTTTAAAGGATTGACGAGTATTAAAAAAATAAAAAAAATGTGTTTTAGGAATAACAAGTAAAGTAGAATTTACTTACCCTTTGGTTGTAATCTCTAAACATGAGGCATTCATAAATACAGAACCGTCTTGACGACATGGATGATCTGTGATCAAACAAAAATTAATATACATTTAAAAGACCATCGTATAGAAATGAAATACATCGTTGATTTTAAATGGTATTCAAGTTGCACGAATCAAAGGAGGTGGTACACCTGTTCGGGTATAGCCCATTAAGCTAGCGATTCTCCTAATGAAACATACTGGTCTTATTGTGACATTAAAGGTCATGTCAGACGAAACTCTGGAGGATACAACCGAGAAAAGGAAAAACTATATATATAGCATCTTATTTGGATATACATACATGAAGGCATATAATCAGACTAACCGACAAGCATTCCGAAAGATGCAAACTGTAAGATATAAAGGAGATTATGTTGTATATCATATTGTTTATGTACAAGTCTAAATTGAAAACAACGTTCAAACCTATGATTGCGTTGGATAAAAATCGCAATTTTTATACGTTTGCATGCAAAACAAATTTCGTGGTAGAGGGGTCTAAATACAGCACAAACAACATTTTCCAAAAGACCAAAAAAGTGAAAAAGTATATTTTAACAAAACGCATTTGACTAACAGGTTTGTGTATATACACCAAATAGCGCTCAGGAAAGACGGACTTTTTTTAAAATTTTGACACCGAATACACTTTCTAATAATGCTTTGTCTGTTTTCATCAAAACTCAAGTAATGAACGTTCATATATTAGAGGAGTGTTTTGATAGTATGCTTGTGTTTCATTTACCTCTTTCATTACAAGTTACTTTATGACAGGAACAGTCTTCCTCTGAAGGTATACAAAAGCAGTTGTTTCTTGGTTTGATAATAAATTTGTATCCTTTTGAAGAGTTACATCCACATGTTGTGTCATTGTTAAAACTTCCTTTATTAAAAACATATTGGCCTTCTTCATTACAAAATGACTTGTGATACACACAATTACTACTGCCATCGGTGGAGAATAGAAAAGGTTGATATCGTTTATAGGTGCATTGTGCTTGGTTGAAAATCGGTTGAAATACAAGTTTACTGCCTGAAATTGAAAGAAGGAATTGTAGATTATTAGTCCAATTAGAAAGAGTGTTGTCACATCGAAAATAAAAAAGTAATAATAGTATTAGTAACCGTAGACTTAAAGAGCTCTCAGTTTGTGTAAAATTGACCATCCTGAGGTACCAAAAAATCCCTAGCAGTTTAACTTCGTTACATAATTGTCAAATGGAAGGGACAATATTGGCACCGTATAATGATGCAGACAACAAATTTTGCAATTATAAACTTAAATTTATTCCCTTTTATGTCAAACAATCCATCCAGAGGTATCAAAGTATCTAACTATCCGGGCAATACATGAATATTGTAAAAATAAGGAAAGATTGGCATTTTTTATTGTTGTAAACACAAATTTTACTAACCATAGACTTATAAATTCTGAATTTTTGTAAAAATATCCAAACATATATGTATATAAATGTATATTTAAAAACATGTTTTATCTTCTAATACAAATGCTTACGTTGCAAAAATTACATGAATGAATATCGCTTCATAAAAATGCTTGAAAAATATATGCCAACATTAAATACAGGTACTGCACAACTTTAACGATATTTTTCACAGCATAATGAGTAAGTGGTCAACATTTTTTACGGCAGATGTAACTCTGTCAGGCTTCATGAAATATCATAAATCTGAAAATTTAGTTTCTGGACCATGTAATCGTTTAAAATTCCTTGCCCTCTCACGAAAAGAAAAAAAGAAAATCTTAATGGTTTACAATTGAGGAATAAATATCAATTTGGTAACTTAGCACGATTTTCAATTAATCAAAAAAAACATCATATCATGCTTTGTAATCGTTCATCTATATACTTGTTGAAAATGGGTAGTTTGGCATTTTTATGTAGCTAGTCATGTGATATGATAAAGTCAGTCACGACAAACTGAGTTTGCGCATCTACTACCAATGTGTCTACTTTTAACAGAAATAGATAACGCGCCTTTTTCACATTAACGCAAATTTACACGAAAAATTTAACTCGCGTTTATTTTGTATGTCTAATGAAATTTTGAAGTTACCCTCGAGTTGACGTGTCGCGTTAGTGAAATCTGTGTTAACTTTTACGTCAAAAACCATGCAATCCTTGGTCTGCAACTAACTGGTATATCAGATTATATATATCTAATGCTGAACAAATTCAATTAGAACTTTTCAATACTGAAACGTCCATTTTCATTTCCAAACATTATTTTCAATTTACACAAAAGAACCACTGATTGATCATGAATATTCATCAAAATTACCCTCGCGTAGAGGTATAGATTTTAATGAGCTTTTAGATTCTTCATGATGATAACTATAGACAATTATTTTTGTTTTATTGCGAACAGTTATTTGCAACCTGGCTATTTTAGTCTTTGTGCCATTTCATAGAAATCGAAATCAAAACGTTTTGTGTACGTTCAAGTGATTATCTCATCCTAATTTGCAATATCAGTGTACTTCGATGAATATAGTATACGTTTGTCGATGTTCGTCTGTGTAGAAAAATATGGGAATTAAATACAAGTTGTTTATGAAAAGTATGAGGTTTAAGCTACATCCATAGTAAGTTGGAATTAAGGCTGTTAGTACACGTGTTTTTTTTTTAAAGTTTCTTTTAGATTGTTTTATGATTTTATAAATAAGAATATAATTACCTATACTGCTATAATCTAGTTCATCACAGGACTCCTTATATATATCCTCTAATCTATATCTAATATGTAACAAACACACATATTGACTACTACTGCAATTAAACGTTTTTGCTCGGAGGCGCCACTCTCCTGAAACTGGACACCTTAGTTCAAATGCAAACGTCAAAGCAACAACCTTTGAAATAAAAGAATTCGATTAATTAAATCTTACAAAACTAAAGAACCAATACTTTATTTCGGGACGACAAATATTTGCAACCTCCATATTAATAAAAGGAAGTGTGGGGTATTTGTCAATGAGAAAACTATTCAATAACAAAAAAGCCCATATGAGGTCAACGTATAGTTTTTAACAATAAAAAGGTCTCCATGAAACATGCGGAGTTACATATTTGCCCGAGTCTTATCACATTTTGTGTACAATCGCTACAAACAGAAATTACTAAAGTTCTGGTTTAATACCAAAACAAAAAACAAACAAAACAATCAAATAAAACAAGACACAGCAAATGACAGCCAACACAAGCTTCCTTACTGACGTGTACATGAAAATATGACAGAGCTAAAGGTTTATCTTAATCTCAAACCTTTTAATTTGATTAATAATGAGTGGGATAACAAAAGGTATACAAACAAATATACAATAAGACCGGTATGGGAAACATTTACTTAAGAATTCAATGCTTCTTTTTGTAAATTTATAAGGGTGCAAAGGCGTTGACCGAACTACATTTTGTATGTCATTCTAAACATGTGCGCACGGTCAACGCTTTTACCTAATAAAATTACAAAAAAAAGCATTCAATACTTATAATTACATTGTTTTGCTAGGATCAGGAAAACACGATTTCTATCAATTTTTTCTTTTATTTACCTGTGCACTTTTTTGTGGAAGCTCGTGTCATCATGAATGTTACATTTCATTTTGAAATTAATGTTAATTTCAGAATGACGCAAGATTGATGTTAACTTAACAAAATAACGTAATATAATGAAACATACATGTAATGTAATTATTCTATAATAATGGTGAAAAGAACAAGAAAACACAGATACCATCAAAACAATATCAAATAATGTCGTATTAAAAATATTGCTTGGTTTGTTTTCTGTGGAGTATTTTATACAATATCAATGCAGGAAAAGGTCGATAAACATACATTAAGGCACATATTCAGATAAACTTAACTAGGCTTTGAATACGATTGTGCTATCTTTGTTGACAATAAATTTAAATCTTCCCCCATAACATCCATTGTGTTGCAGGTACAAAATGTAGGCGCGGTCGCCTTTTACATTAAAGCGTGGCTCAATTCTGTGAACACCGGTTTTGATTCAATTTTCTAATCAATCGTTTTGAATTCAATACAAATACAAAAATATCACACCATTATAAAACGTGACCATGCGCTAGATTTTACAAGCATGACTGTAGTATTGTATGGAAAGAGTCAAATTTGCAATGGACCTCCACGATCATGAAGACTTGGCACGTTCTTACTACGACCTTACCACGACCACCACGATCTTACTACGACTTCCAAAATTTTTCATAAACTCTGAGGTCGTAGCGGAATCGTGTCATAGTGTGATGGGGACAATAATAAAAAATGATTCCTGGTTGTTTGCATTCAACAGTTCGACGTCGGTTAACGATGTTTAACATACTTTACAGCTACTTTATGTTCTTACAGTCTAAGTCGGACGGTACTGTTCGACAGTTGTTAAAAGAATGTATATTTGATTTTTCAAATTCACCCGCGGTTTGTCTACATATTAATCTATACTGCAATTTAGCCAATCAAATTGAAGTCGTTTTGTTCACACAATTGGATGCCCGTCCACAAGCATGATTGTAGGTAAACGCTGCATACAGTCAAGTGTAAACATCATCAGTATTAAACAAATTATAAAGTATCATGCAATGTCTGCTTTTGAAATGTTGATGTTGTGTGGCAGCAAGTTGTTATATTTTACTTTGAAGTTGTATGAATTGCGTTCAACTGAAACAGTTTAACTAAATATATAAGTCCTAGGTAAAGGTGTTAAAGAGATTTAATATAAAAAAGAAAATGTAGTATGATTGCCAACGAGACAACTCTCCACAAGAGACCAAATGACACAGAAATTAACAGCTATAGGTCACCGTACGGCCTTCAACAATGAGCAAAGCGCATACCGCATAGTCAGCTTTTAAAGTGTTTTTGTCGTATCGATGGTAAACAAAAGAATATCTGTAAGAACATTAAAATGTGGAATAAAATGTATAATTTCACTAACCCACATTACAATAAGCGAGCAAATTAATGTGTAATAACTTGGTCAGGATTCATTAAGTCAAATATGTTATCAACATTATTGATTGTTTTGTATATACTTGCTAACAAATTCCAAGACATATTTGACAACTGCGGTTACTGGTTTAGATAAACTGAACCCCAGTTTTTTTCCCAACTGAATAGAATTTACATTTACTTACTAAGGGAACATGCAGACATTTAACTTCAAGAGGGGGTTACATTGAATTCATTGTTTTACCAACTATAATCGAACCAAATTATTAGTCGAGACAGAACATTATTTTGGGTTGAAAAACAGAATATTTGTGTCAATGGTGCGACAACTGATTTATTATTCTTCCATTTTGAATTATAATTATTTAAAAATACCATACCACCCTCCCCTTTAAGTTAAATGATTGTTCCTAAAATGCATTTCTATTACCCTTCTGAATATTTACTAACATTTTACACGCTACGTCATCCAAATAAATTTCCCACTAATCAAATCTGGATTTTTCTGTAAGCCTGCTTTCAACCGTTTACTAAAAGTTTGAAAATATGTTTCAATGACTTTTACAACATATTTTTTTTTTAAATTGATATGTTGTCGCCAGAAATTTTTAAAGAAAATAAATGAATGGTCATCTAATAAGATAATACTACCTATTGGATTAATTGTTTATTTGTTCTCTCCTTGTACATGTATGATATATTTGCCACGTGACGTAAAGATGACTAATCTATCATTTACATGCAGACTATACAAAAAGATCTGGGAAATGATATCATGATACATTTTAATACATTCGTGAAGTACTGAAGACAGAGTCTTTGAACGTCAACTTTAATTTCGGTTAACCAGGTACTCGGTCGAATGGTTATCCGAGTAACTGATTAGGTAACAATGTTCGAATTGGCAACACTACAAATAGCAAATTAACAAATAATTTAAATATGCCATGTGTCAAATTTGGTGAGCGTTCCAAAGAGCCAGCAACCAAATGTCATAAACAAAACTTTTTTTATATCTGAATGTTTAAGTTTTAGACTCATATGGTGTATGGCCTAAATATGGCACACTTTAATATTGTAATGTTATACACTACTTTATTCTCTAAAAGCTAGGTACAGAGAGACAACTACATGGAATTCCAAATAGCAGCAAAGTCGTTCAGTTATGTTTTTTTATGTCAAACCCATCTTTGTTAAATAATGAGACAAAAGAGTGTATATAAGGAATAGAGCCTAATTGATTAGACCTCACACTAAATGCATATATGAATAAAGCTAAGAGGGGCCAGTCATATACTACTTGCTGAAACCCCGTGAAAGTTTTGATTATGCTATATTTATGATGGCGAAAAATATGATTGATTTAAGATAAGTTTATCTTTGATCAAAATCTTATTTGCAAGCCTTGTCGTATGAAATATAAGTCGGAAGTATATTAAGCGGCCGATATTATAATATTAAAGAAAGGAAATAAGCTGGTAATTACTTTGAACGAGCTTTAAGTAACTACATAATACTAATCAATAACATGTGATAACTACATACTACTAATCAATATCATGTGATAACTACATACTACTAATTAATAACATGTGATAACTACATAATACTAATCAATAACAGTAATAACTACATACTGCTAATCATTATCATGTGATAACTACATACCACTAGTCAATAACATGTGTTAACTACATACTACTAATTAATAACATGAGATAACAACATACTATTTATCAATAACATGTGATAATTACATACTACTAATCAATAACATGTAATGTTAAAGTAATAGCTTTTTTCTTTGTCTAGTTTAGATATATTAATATTTTCATTTTAGGATGTAATACGTCTTCTGATTGGCTGAAAGTTATTAGCTCATAGACATAATTTTTTCATGTTACCGTGACGTATTCAAAGTTTTTTCCATGATGTTCTCTTCAGGTTATTTAGTGTGCACCACATTTTTGAAGTTATTTCTTCATAGACAGAAAAAAATATTACAGTCATTCCTTAAATATATCAAATATTTTTGTGTGTGTGAACAGAATTTTATTGTTTTCTTTTTCTTTCTGCTTTATTTATTCTATTTACTGCACATTTTATTCTATAATGTACTAGTAGTAAGCTTTAAAATGTCCCTACAAGACAAAATGTTGACAATCGAAAAGTACGAGAAAACCAACAAATTTATGAACAATTCAATTAAAGAAAAACAAATATGACAGACCCTAAACAACGACAACCACTGATTTAATGACTCCTGATTTTGGACAGGAACATAAAAAATTTGGTAGGGTTAAATACGTTTGTGCACTCAGTCCCTTTTTTTCTTTTTAAGGTGTAATTGTTACTGAAAAGGCAACAGATCAGTGATAAATACAACAACTTTAAAACTGTAATTAGATCATATCTGTCACATTTGTTTTTGGTAAATTGTTTTGTTAAAAATAAGGATCTTAGTTTTCTCAAATGAACTGTGTCACATTTTTCATGTAGGGCATTTTAAAGCAGACTTTATGGAATGGGGGTTTCTCTTTGTTGAGGGCCGTACGGTTGCCTATGATTCCTAATATGCGCTTCATTTCAACTCTGGTGGATAGTTGTCTGACTGGCAATCATACCACATCTCCTATTTAACACTGTTGGTACAAGTAATATGTGTTTTAGATAATTCAACATTGTATATAAAGGGAATTGAAACAACTCACAGCGAATTACGAGGTAGAACGACTGACTTATGAGATTTTAACATCGATTATCTACTGTAATTTGCGTCCTTTTGAACATTTCCACAAGATTTTAAATAGCCAACTATCAGACATTGAAAGTGATGGAATGCAATTTAGTGCTAGAAATTTATATATATAAATATATATAAGCTACTGAAAATGATTATGCTTTCAATTTCTGGAAATTTATCTGAAAATCAAGAATCATGTTTCTATACATTTGAATTGTGAAACCTCATTTCATTTTAGCTTTAGCAACAAAAGATATATGACGAAAACTACATAATAGATTACAAAAAGTCTCATGATACAATGACCACAAAAAATAATGACTCATCTAGTAGGATTCCATTTGATCTTGAACGGTTTTCATCAAATCTTGAATTTCTTTGAACAATTGTTTTTTTTTTCTAGAAAACAATGTAGCTGAAGTTATAGTACTTGTCATTTGACGATATTTTGTTAGTCTTAAAACTATTAGATAGGTATGGTTTGTACATCTTTTATTCAATAGACGAACACGCACGTGTAATGTTTTATTTTGGTTTAAAACCAGTAATAGTTCAATTACTGGTTATTGATACATTATGATTTAACAATGACAACAATACAATTACGGACAGAGATTCTGCCATGGTGTTATGATGAATTTTGGACTCTACATGAACAGCAAATATATTTAAAAAGTTCCAATCATGCTATCTAATGCACAATTACATGGAATACTTAAAACTGTAAATTCAAAAAATTAGTCCGGCCAAACCTGAAGGATTACCGGGAAATAGAAATATGGTCACTTCTTGTGTTCTTCCGACCAGTTGCAAAAGTGGTGCGTCCTTTAAGCTGTGTGAAATGAATTAAACGTGAAATCTGAAGCCTCGTTGAGAGAGAGCATCCCGCTCACTGTGATTTTGGACACTATAAAAAATTCTTTAGCGGGTCAGTAGTTGGCCTGTTGCAAGGCGGCTAAATTGGTATACTTATCCAATATACAACCATTATCGACCTGCAGACACATTTGCCACCATTCATCCTTGTTGATCCTTATTCAAAAACCTACCTGTTGTATTTATTGTTAATTTGTTCTAGTTCCGAACATGCAACACTAAATTAATCAATTATTGTCCCGTTCAACGCTTGTGTATATAGCGAGTGTAGAGATGAATATAAAAATAAGGAGATGTGGTGTGATTGCCAATGAGACAACTTTCCACCAAAGTTTAAATGAAGTGGACGTAAGCAATTATAGGCAACTGAACCGCCTTCAACAATGAGAAAAACCCATACGGTCGGCTTTAAAAGGTTCCGAAATGAAAAAAATATGAAACAATTCGATTGAGAAAACTAACGACCTTATTTATAACAAAACACTTTACGAAAATCAAATATGACAGACATGAACCAACGACAACCACTGAACTACAGGCTCCTGACTTGGGACAGGCACATAAAGAATGTGGCGGGGGTAAACATTTTTTGTGAGCATCCAACCCTTCCCCTAACAGCGAACAGTGGTGTAACAGTTCAACATAAGAACATCTTTAAAAATCAGTTTAAATAGTCTTAACTTTTCAGATGGATACAAATAGAAATACATCTAAAGAAAAACAAAACGATACTAAGTACAGATCTGAGAGTACTAGCCTTTTAAATTTTCGTGTTGAATAAGAAGGCAAATTTTCTTACTTTAAAAAACAATGAAACTAGATTTTTTTTATTGATTCAAAAACTAAAAGAAAAAGGAAAAGAACTTATTTATTAGAAATAGTTAAATCTTAAAACATTACAATGAAGCATACAGTTGGGACACAATAATGCCCGTATTTTGTCTTACTTACTTGTAAACACGAAAAAAATACATAGCTCTGCATTTGTTTCGGTTCTTATTCATCCTCCACTTTCAAATATTCGTTTTAAACGTTTCTGATGAAGGTAGATCCAGAAAAGCGCTTCGGACGCATGAAATTAATAACGTGTTGTTTTCATTTTTTAAAAGGGTTAAAACATGTTGGTATTACTTTTATTAAGGGCATGATGCATGGTCAAGGTGGTACAAAGTTGTACAATATTGAACAGGACTATATTTTTCCGGGACTAGTCACTTATTTGTATTTTCCCCAGAGACTGTTTAGCCAGTGCAGTTGATAAGTTAACATTTTAAAAGTGTTAGTTTCATTAAACATTTCATGAGGGTCTTGAAGGCAGTTGTTTTGTTTAAGTTGTTTATCAGCTTGAAACTTGAAGTTTCCATGGTTTTCTAAAAGTGCACAGATAAATCTTCTGGAAATTGTAGATTTGACAAAAGGAAAAGTGTACAGATGATGGTGTCAATTAATAAATACACCTCTTTGATTTCAGACATATTTGAGTATGAATTCATGTTTTGGAATCATAGGTATTAATACTATTGACAAACAAGTAAAATGGGGAAAAAACAGACAATTCCTGTCACTTTTAAATAAAAATTGTGTACACAAATTTTAGTTTTGAGTGGTTGTTACTGGTTTATTTAAATACTTCATCTCACTATGGGGTAAGAAAATATTTGCATACTAATTAATAACTAAATATATTCCACAATCAGGTCATGACATTTATTTGGTTACAGCAGACCACAAAGCAGGTATCAGATAATTACGGTTTATTTACACATAATTGTCATTTGAATGAGTCTTGAAACAAAAATTACAGGTATTAAATAGTTGAGGTCAGTGTATACTGAACAGTCAAACTGCTTGATCATTATCCGTAAAATTTTGAGACGCTGCTGCTAAATTATATACAAGTGAATCTTTGTCTTTATCAATATTGTGTAGTTCGACAAAGGTGTACTGTATTGAATTATTTATTTCAGATAAAAGTCTTAATCTCGGCCTTAATGTTCATGACTTTCCTAGACCAGCAAAAAAGCTTGCCTTTACAATCAGAGGATTAATTATTTAACTTTCCTAATTCTAATTCTAAATTATGAGTTACGGGAATTGATTGGTATTAAAGCAGTGTAAAGATAGATGGCTTTGATACATGCTCAGGATTGAACTTCTTGTTCTAAACTATAAGTTGTTTCACACTCTTTGTCCGACAGTTCAGGGATGTTCATATTTATATACACCGGTCAACCTTTTGTTTGTTATAATTATAGCTGAATGATGAAATGTTTTAAGGTCACCTGGCCCGAATCAAAAAAGAAAAGAAAAGAAAACCTTCTATTATTAGAAAATGTTTCAGATATAAATTATACATACCTGAAGGATAGTCAGTAGGATGAACCTGTCCATCATGTATGTTCTTCATTACTTATATATGCCATCTAAAAAAAAACCATTTAAATTCAGAGTTCAGATATTACACCATAAACTGTATATTGCATTGCGTATTAACCCAAACTAGGGATTCATAATATTGTATATTCTTGAGCTAATGTTGTTCATTGTCATGATGTTTTTTTTTTTATATTTTATTGCCCCGGAAATATATCTTTTAAGTTTTCGTAATCAAGAAAACAGATGCCTTTTATTCTAAAAAAATATGTCAACATGCGTTAATTATGAGAAAATAAGCAAGTATTCTAATGAAACTCCTGAATCATATTACGTTGAACATTGATAGGTAGATGGTGAGACCCAAATAACACTTTTGTGTAAAATTAGGCATTAAATACAAAGGCCACACGACAAATAGAGCCTCTGACTTATGACTAAAATTTCAATTGATCAATCCTTGAATTTTCAAACAAAGTGTTAAAAGGAATGCATGCTTACATCGGGTTCAGTACGGAAGATAAATCATTGGTTAATATCAGAAACATCAAACGATAATTTTGATTAACATCACCCGACAAGTATTTTTTTTCGGTAACTCCGGAAACCAGCTTAAGATATAATATTTGTTCCAGTGGAAATAATATTCCTGAATATTTTTTCCACTTATATTATGAAGGAACTTCTATTTCAACAAAATCGGATATTTAAATCAAAGAAACAAACAAAAAGATATAATAAAGACCCCAACAGAAAAGTTGCTGTAGTTGATAGTATTTATGTCAAAGACGCCAACAAATAAGTTTTGGTAGTTGATGGTATATTGACAAAGATGCCAACATAACAATTTTTTGTAGATGATAGTACATACTATATATAACAACACTTTCTCGATAAGGTACAAGTTAAGTAAAATATAAATACATGGGTAAAAACAAGGAAAAACAAAAATGTAAACACCTCTTTCGTCACAATAACACATCTAATTTCCCTGCACGGGAACGCCTCAAACAAAAATTCCGATAACTGGAATATAGAATAGATATCATTACATGGTGTTTACTTAAATTGGTATTGTAGATACAAGTTTCTTGTATAAACGGCATGCTTAAACACTTGATCGACAAATTACATTAACACAGTTTTATAAATTGATATCTAAGAAAATATTCCAATGACAGAATTAATGCAACACCCTCTTAAAGACAAAAAAAAAAAAAAAAAAAAAACATGCACGATTCTTTAATTTTCCTTGTTTACAACAAATACATCGAATATGGTATTAAAAACTTTTTGAACGACAATATAGTTGTCGAGTTTGGAAGAGTGATGATTCAACAAACAGATGCTATTCCGATGGGTACTAAGTGAACACCCCTCCTGACCAATTAATTGTTGTACTCCTTCTCAAAGACAAAGCATATGTATTGCAAAGAACTTAAATTTCCTCCTCGGATACATAAAGAAGTCGTGACAATCATTAACCAACTTTTCAGTGACTGGTTGCATCTCAAATGTTCAAATAAACTAGAGATTAAGGATACTGCTGAAACTATGTCTGCTTCAACTCATGATTTTTTTTTTCGATATTAACATATTATGCTCATTACAAAATAGAATGTTAAGATAGTTATACGGAAGAAAGTTTGAAACAAACACTACAAAGGTTTGACGGTCAAAAACACAAATTGTTTGACCTATAGTATAATGATGTATGAAATCCCAGCGACATGCTTTTGCAGTATTTTTTTATTTTTTTTTTTAGAATAATCGTCTCATATTGGATAGTTAATGTTTAACCTTTATGTTCCCATCCATTTATTATCGAGCTAAAATCTTTTATGAACAAACAACAAGTATATCAAGTTACATAGGTTATTAACTTATACTGTAAATAGTACTTGTTTGAAAGTACAAATATATTAAAATGGACTGGCTTAAAATAAAAAGATAAAATATCTATATATATATTTTTTAAAATGAATAAAACATGTCTGAGTTGGTAACATTAGTAATCAACTTGAGACACATTGTTTCTTGTGAATAAAATATATCACATCATTTTACATGTATTTATAGCCATTCTGATTTAAAGATATATTAGGGTATCAAAGATAACAGAACTGTAATGAATTAGTAAACACATTTGTGTCAACATAATTGACATGGCAGTAAGTTCACATAACTTTTTAGCTTGAGTCGCGATAAAAATTCCCAAACTTGTTGAATTGATCAAACGTTGCATTGGAGATTTGTAGAATGGTTCATCTTATTAAATATTGTTTAAAAATGTAAATGTGTGTAAAAAACAAAATATGTTGATAATTTCGCATGCATATTTATTTTTCATTCGAATTATCTGAATACTAAGTGCTTCTGTCAATTACCCTTTACAAATAATAGGTTTGTTTTTCTTGTGTTCATATGAGATACAAGATAGGAACTACAGGATAAATATTTTATTAGAAGAATATTGGACAATATATTCACACCTCGTAAAGAGAGTTTAATTGTCTTTACTTGTTTTTTTGTATATTTTGGACTGAACTGATGACAGTTACAATCAAATCAATGTGTCAAGATTTAATATTGATAATTCATATTTTAGTGAACTCGTGTTATTGACTTTTCAATGTGGTTATATTTCAAAAATATTAAAATTAGGTTTTTAAGATTGATAACACGTAGAATGACAATGTTTATTACACAAATATGCTGACCTGAAACTACTTGATCCAGTTAAATAAGACAAAGATTATGAAATGATTTTTGTATGTTGTCCATTATATGTTATTGACTTGAAAGTACAGAGTGTTCATTGTGCATCACATATTCATCATTGTAGTGAAATGTTATTTGATATAACTTCCATTTTAACAACATGGATTTCCCATTTGACTTAAAAATGATAGTCTGTGATTCATGTGGACAAACCCTGATATTTATAATTAATTGTATTATGTGTATATGTTTACTTTATATTGTGACACATTCAAAATAACTGGTTATATTTAAAATCAAAATCTAGACAGGATACCTGCTATTTTCAAAAGAAAACTGACAGACCATGCAAATGATATTTGAAGTCAGGTATTTAACATTGACCAAAATTAGAATTGTAAAAATGTATTTTAACAATTCGTATTTAGCTACTGAATCTAAACTTTAATAAATTGATTTGAATATCCAGTTCGTTTTTTTGTATTTAAGGAAACTTTTGAATGAATGCATACAGAACGTTAATGTTCATTTTGTATAATCCCAACAAAAGAATAATGACCTCCACATTTCAAAGATATTAAAGTTAGTTTTTCAAGATTGATAAAACGTAGAATGAAAATGTTTATTAAAATAAAAATGCTTACCTGAAACTACTTGTTTCAGAGTTATATACGACAAAGATAATGAAATGAATGCTGAATGTTGTCCATTATAAGTTAATAACTTCAAAGTATAGAGTGTTCATATGCAATATCATCACATATTCAGCATTGTAGTGACATGTTATTTGATATAACTTCCCTTTTAACACAACATATTCCGCATTTGAACTTAAAAATGATATTTTGTGATTCATGTGGACAAACGCCAATATTTATAATTGTATAATAATTATATATGTGTGTACCTTACATCACAACATATTTAAAGTAAGTGGTTGTATTTTAAATCAAAATTTAAACAGGATACCTGATATTTTTCAATAGAAAACTGACAGACCATGCAAATGTTTTTGCTCTAATGTTTAGAGTCTGTTATTCAACATTGACCTAAATCAGAATTGTAAAAATGTATTTTAACAATTCTAATTAAGGTACTAAATTTAAACTTTAAAAAAATGATTTAAAAATCGTCCAGATCTTAAAATGTATGTGTAGGAAACTTTTGAATGAAAGCATACGGAACAATAATGTTCATTATTTATAATCCAAACAAAAGAGTAATGACCTCACATGCTGAACACAGATCATGTTCTAGATTTTGTAAAATAAATTTCTTTTAAAAATGAGTTTAAAACTACACCAGCAGGCACCCGATGCTGTAGAGATGTCGATATTTGGTTGAAAATAGGTCGCAACGTCGGCGACCTAAATTCAACGTCGGCTGGCAAACGTCTGTCTGGCATTATAGAACGACGTCTATATAACCTTGTTTTTTTGGTCGAGAACTTATACAATGTCAACACAACGTCGGATGTCATACATGTATGTCGATCGGATGCCATATGTCGGTCGGACGTCTAAATTATTCTAAAATATTGAAATCACACGTACACGAACACAAAGTCTTAAATTATATATTATTCTTTCAATACTATATGTATCCTATTGTTATATACATAATATAATGAACATTAAAATAAAGTTTAATGTAGCCCTCTACTAAGATTAATAACGTCGAATATGCCTTATGCCAGTGTATATTACAAATCCAGACTACCACCACACACCCTTTTTTCAAGGAACATTTGCGCCCCTTTAGTTGACGCAATCACCAATAAACTCTTTAAATAATTTGATTGATCATTTAATTTTTTATTTTCGTATAATAATCGGGTTAATCGTTATCTTTCGTGCAAATAAATAAAAAGTTAAAGTCAAGTGTGATGTTTATGCACGGGTCATCGATAAATATCTATTCATGCATGCGATTTCGAGACAATTTAAAAGTCTGGAATACGGTATTTATATTCCGTAATCATGATGCATAGTTTTACTGAAGGAACCAACATTTATTTCCATTTTAAAACTAGACACGAACTTCGTGGAAAAAGTAAGGAAGATCATCATCAAGTTAAATTAAACCAGCTAAAAGTGAATAAAAAGTTTGTACACTACTCATATAGTTCCATGTAAAAACTGCAGTTGATCGTTTCCCTAAAATCACTTGAAAAAATGGTTGAAATACCCACGGGATCAGAAATTAACGGACTTATCAAAATATATAACTGCAAATTATCCACATAGAAGTAGAAGCTGAAGATAAGAGGTCTACTTTTAAGGATTATAATTCATAAAGAGTTACACAAAATAAAATTCCTTTACTATAACCTAGAGCAACCCATGTACCATACATGTACATACAACTGTCAACTACAACTCATTTGCGACAATCAAATGTATTTAATAAATGACCAAATGATTGTCAATATACGCTATATACGTTTCAAAGGTTGGCCAGGTATGACGAACATAACCGGTTTAAAAATACACATTTAAAACACTACTATTTACCATAGTATAAATAAACTCTTACTATTATAACAAAAGAAGCGCTGAACTGTGATCTCTTCATTAAGTCGATTTGAGAATTGTATCGATCTTTATGTATACCTGTTGTATTTGATGAAGTAGGTATATGTCTCTAATGCATTAAGAAAACATATCGTGTTCCGTCTTTGTCATTTTTAACCAAATAATAACTATCTCCAATTCTTTAATATGATCACGTTTTAGAATTTTACACATATGATAATGTAATCATACAAAAACAATTTTGAAGACACAACTATGGATTTATAAAAATGACAAAGATCTTTGATATGATCGTAGTTTATTTAATTGTTTGAAACGTTTACAACATTGTTTTACAAATATAGACATTTATTGTAGAAGTTTTTTTTTCAAATGCAGAATTTAGACAATCGTGCATTTACGGTTTTATATGTAAACTTTGCATAATTTTTATTTCATTGACCTTATTGAATGGTATACAAAAACTGATCCAACAGAGTTATGAGGAAGAACAACTGAAATTTAAAGGTCACAATTACGAATTAAATGTCTCAATACTTTAGCGACATGTTTCGCGGTCTTCGATCTTTGGATATTAGAAAAATAGTCTGAACTGTAATTTTCCCGGTTGAGTCCTCATCGATTGTGACATTTAAGTGAGGGTTGATTCGTATGGCGGGTAAGCATGCATAGAAGGTGACGCTTCTCTGTCGACGCAACTGAGTTCGTTCCTTTTGAAGGTTATGCGATACCTGCAGCGTTAGTTTGCTACCTTGATTTGTCTCTTTTTAACCAATTTACGAGATTTGAACATCGAAAAAAAAAACTACTGTCGTCTTTAATTCAGAGATACTTATTTATGAATGAAATTGTATCTGGTTGTGATGCTGATTCATTGGCATTTACCCAAGTTATCAAGTTTTTTTTTTATAAAACGGGTAAGTAGATAATGGATAACATGCACTCTTTGAATCAAGCGCTTACTTCCTTTCACTGATATTTCTCATTCTTGTTGTCTTTTCTTCTTAAAGAAAATCATTTTTTTCAACAAAAGAAAGCATTTGAAAAAAGATCTATTTTAATTCTAGTATTCAACCTCCTATAAAGAGGGCGGGTACACATTCTCGCTTATCAAACGATTTGATTGATTGATTGATTGATTGTTGGTTTGCTTAACATCCAGTGGCAAATACTCCATGCATCAAATACAGTATGAAGGCCCCGTAACAAGGTCGGGGAAATTTGGACTGCCACTGGAACATGTTGGTACATTGGAGATGGGCAGACATTTATCCTTGAAACAGGTCCCTATCGAACGATTTGAAAAGAGAATTAAATGTAAAAGTGTAAACCACGCCGTTATGTATACATAACGTCTCTAGAACATTATTTGATTATATTTCAGTTACTCCATGTGATTTTTTGTTATTAAAAAGCTTGACATCAATATTCCAAAATATAAACATAATTGAGAAAATTAATTTGATAACTTCTGTCTTTTCATGATCATTTTTTTTATTCCTAAACTTCAGATCTTTTCCCCCTTTTCATTCTTTAAAAATCAACGACCCACATCTTTAAAGTGACAGTGGTTATAGCTTTGCTCTATTATTTGATCGTGTAGTTTAAAGACTATTTGTAATACTGTGAATACCTTGCATAGAGAGTTAAATTGTCTTCACTTGGTTTTATCGTATTTAAACTGACCTGAGACATTTACAATCAAATCAAATTATCTTTTGTTTCAAAGATATCAAAATTAGGTTTTTAAGATTGATAAAATGTAGAATAACGTTTATTAAACTAAATGTGCTTACCTGATACTATTTGACCAAGAGTCAAATAAGACAAAGATGATAAAATGAATGTTTAATGTTGTCCATGATAAGTTATTGACTTGAAAGTACAGTGTCCATTGTGCAATATCATCACACATTCATCATTGTAGTGAAATGTTATTTGATACAACTTCCATTTTAACACAATGGATTCCGCATTTGAACTTTAAAATGATATTTTGTGATTCATTTGGACAAACCCCAAAATTTATAATTGTATTATGTACCTTACATTGCGATTGATTTAAAATAACTCGTTGTATTTTAAATCAAAATTTTAAACAGGATACCTGATATTTTTCAATAGAAAACTAACAGACTATGCAAATGATCTTTGAACTAAAGTTTGAAGTCTGGTATTTAACATTGACCTAAATTAGAATTGCAAAAATGTATTTAAAACTCGTCCAGATTTTAAAGTTTAAATGTTTTTATTTTTTTAGTGAAAGAAACTTTTGAATTAATGCATAAGGAACAATAATGTTCATTATCTATAATCCCAACAAAAGAGTAATGACCTCACATGTTGAAAACAGATCATGTTCTAGTGTGTGTAACATAAATGAATTTCTTTTGAAAATATGTTTAAAACTACCCATGCAGGCACCCGATGTTGTACAGACGTGGTTGTTTGGTTGCAATTAGGTCGTAATGTCGGCTGACAAACGCCTATCGGACATTATAAAATGACTTCTATATAACCTTGCTTTTTGGTCAAGACCTTATATAACGTTAACACAACGTCGGATGCCATATGTCGTTCGAAAATCTAAATTAATATAAAATATTGAAATCACGAAGATAAAGTATTAACTTATACATTAACCTTTCACATTGCTATATCACAATTTAAAAGTCTGGTTCTCGGTAGTTCTATTCCGTTGTCACGATGCATAGTTTTGCGGAAGAAAACGATATTTCATTTCGTTTGAAAACTAGGCGCGACCTCACGGAAGAAGTAAAAAAGAATATCACCAAGTTAAATTAAACTAGCTTAAAGTGAATAAAAGGTTTGTACAATTATCGTATAGTTTCATGTAAAATTGCAGTTGAATGTTTCATTTTATTCACTTGAAAAAATGGTTGAAATACCCACGGGATCAGATGCTAACAAATTTATCAAAATATATAACTGCAGATTTTCCACATAGAAGTAGAAGATGACGATAAGAGATCTTCTTTTAGGGATGGGAATCCATAAAGAGATACACCAAATAAAATTCCTTTACTATAACCTTTAAGAACCCATGTACCATACATGTACTTAAAACTGTCAACTAGAACTCATTTGTATTTAAAAAACGACGTAGAATGATTGTCAATAGACGCTTTATACTTTTCTAATCTTGGCCAGGTATGACGAACAAAACCGGTTTAAAAATATACATTTAAAACATTATTATTTACCGTAGTATTAATAAACTCTTATCCTTAGAACAAAAGAAGCGATGAACTGTGATCTCTTTATTAAGTTGCTTTGAAGAATTGTATTGATCTTAACGTCTTGAATTGTTGAAGTAGATATACTAGTATTTCGTTAATGCATTTAGAAAACATATCGTGTTCTTTCTTTGTCATTTATAACATAAGCTTAACGATCTCATAATCTGAAATATGATCACGGTTTACACAAATGTTTTAGAATTTTACACACATGATAATGTGATCATACGAAAACAGTTTGAAGACAAAATCATAAATTTATAAATGGCAAAGTTCTTTGATTTAATTGTAATGTATTTAAAAACTATAAGTGATTTCAACTTTTACAACATTGTATTACAAATATAGACATTTATTATGGAAGTATATATACAAATGCAGAATTTCGGCAATCTTGCATTTACGGTTTTATCAGCAAACATTGTATAATTTTGGTTACATAGACCTTACCGAGTTGTATACCAAAACTGATCCAACAGAGTTATGGGGAAGAACGTCTTAAATTTTACGGTCACAATTACGACTTGAATGTCTCAATACTTTTGCAAAATGTTTCACGGTATTAGAAAAACTACTGTCATCTTTAATTCATAGATCATTTATGATGAAATCGTATCTGGTTGTGATGCTGTTTCATTGGCATTTACCAATTTTATAATGTTTTTCATGTTGATTTTTATCTTATAGAACGAGTAACATGCACTCTTTGAATCCACGGCTTACTTTCTTTCACTAATATTTCTCATTCTTGTTGTTTTTTTTTCTTCTTAAAGAAAATCAGTATTCGAATTTAACAACAACAAAAACCTTGAATAGTATTAAACCTCCTATAGAGAGGATGCATACACATTCTCGCTTATCAAAAATTTGATTGATTGATTGATTATTGGTTTGCTTAACACCCAGTGTCAAATGCATGTACACTTTGCCGGTCGGAAGAATACCAAGAGTGACTGTATTTCTATTCCCCAGTTACCCGGTTTGAGGGGGGGGGGGGGGGGGGGGGGGGTAACGATTTGAATAGAGAATTACATGTAAAAATATAAATCACGCCGTTATGTGTATCCATAACGTCGTCAGAACATTAATTAGTTTTATTTTGTCATAGTATCAATATCAATTTCATTTGCACCATGCAATTTGATGGTTATTAATAAATTGTACATCAATTTTCCCCAAATCACAATTGAGAATATGGAATTGATATCTTCTATCTTCTTATGATAATTGTTTTTTCTTCCTAAACTTCAGATCTTTTCCCCCTTTTCATTTTTGAAATACAACAACTCACATCTTAAAAGTTACAGTGGTTATCTTTGCTCTGTTATTTAATTGTGCATTTTTTAAACAAATATTTTGTAATTATGTGAATACCTTGCAAAGAGTAATGCATTGTCTTTACTCGAATTTGAAAATAATTTTAGACTTACCTGCGGACATTTATAATTAAATCATTTGATAAAGATTGAATATTCGTTTTAATTGAATTCGTGTCATTGTCTTTTGCTTGTAGTTAAAGGTCAAAGATATTAAAATGAGGTTTTTAAAAATCATAAAATGTAGATTAACAATGTTTATTAAACTTAATATGCTTACCTGGAACATCTCAATCCAGAGTTAAATAAGATAAAGATGATAAAATGAATGATTATTGATGTCCATTATAAGTTATTGACTTTAAAATACAGAGTGCCCATTGTGCAATATCATCACATATTCAGAATTGTAGTGAAATGCTTATTGATATAACAATCCCTTTAACACAACGGATTCCGCATTTGAACTTAAAACTTATATTTTGTGATTCATGTGGAAAAACCCCAATATTTATGATTGCATTATGTACCTTACATTGCGGCATATTTAAAAAACATACTTGTAAATGAAATTAAAATTTAAACAAGATACCTGATATTTGTCAATTGAAAACTGACAGACCATGCAAGTGATATTTGAACTAAAGTTTAAAGTCAAATATTTAACATTGACCTTAATTAGAAATTTTTACAATTCGAATTTAGGTACTGAATTTAAACTTTTTTAAAATTCGTTCAGATCTCAAGGTTTATGTGTTTTTATTTTTTTTTTATTAAAGAAAACTTTTGAATGAAAACATACGGAACAATAATGTTTATTATTAAAAATCCCAACAGAAGAGTAATGCCCTCACATCCTCACATGCTAAAAAACAATAGTTTGCTTGAATTAAATGATTTATTTAATTGTGTTTTAAACTACATCAGAAGACTTCCGATGTTTTCCAAGGACCATTTGCGTCTCTTTAATTGACGCAATCACCAATACACTCATAAATGATTTGATTGATCATGTTTAATGTTCGTTTTTTATTCGGTTTAATCGTTATCTTTAGTGCAAATGAAGAAACAGGTAAATAAAATCATAGATTCCAACATAGCATTTTTTTATTTGCGCCAGATGCGCGTTTCGTCTACAAAAGACTCACCAGTGACGCTCGAATCAAAGAAAGTTAAAAAGGCTAAATGAAGTACGAAGTTTAAGAGCACTGAGGACCCACAATCCTAAAAGTTTCGCCAAATACAGCTACGGTAAAGTCGAGTATGATATTTATTCACGGGAACTTGATAAATATGTATTTATGCGTGCGGTTTAGAGACTGTGTTATATACAAATACGGAGATGTTGTATGATTGCCAAAACCTATACCGTATAGTCGGCCATAAAAGGCCACGACTTGAAAAATATGAAATATTTCAATTAGAAAACTAATAGCCTAATTTATATCAAAACAATTTACGAAGAACATTTATGACAGACGTTAACCAACGACAACCACTCAACAACTGGTTCCTGACTTGGGACAGACACATACATAATTCGGTGGGTTTAAACATGTTCGTTAGCACTCAATCCTCCCTTAACCTTGGACAGTGGTGTAACAGTACAAAATAAGAACAAACTATAAAAATCAGTTGAAAAAGGCTTAACTCATCAACTCGACACAAATACAAACAATAAACAAATAGACAGACAGGACGTGGCAGGGAATATATCCATCCTTCACAACAACAAAAAAACACTAAGTGAAAATCTGAGAGTACTTGCAGTGACTGACAGCTAGTTCAAAGCCAATAACAACTAATTAAAACGTATCTAAGACTAACATATCAATCAGTACTCATCCAACATCTCATGGTTTTAGTGTAAAGACGTCATTTACAGTCAGTCTGGTTCCCGATATTTCCATTCCGTAATCACGGTGCATAATTTTACGGAAGGAACCAACATGTAATTTCGATTAAATACTAGGCGCAAACTCGTTGAAAAAGTAGAGAAGATCATCATCAAGATAAATTAAACCAGCTAAATAAAATAATGATTTGTTGACTGTTTCCTTAAAATCACTTAAAACATGGTTGAAATACCCACATAATCAGAATTTGATGGATTAAAAAAATATACAACTGCAGATTATCCACATAGATGTAGAAGAAGTTAAGAGCTCATTTTTTAGGAAATTAAATCCACATAGAGATACACCAATTAAATTTCCTGTACTATAATTTCTTGTTCTATAACCTAACGACATAAAACTTTAACCTAAATAAGAGGCATTCCTGAGGTAAATGACGGCCTAAAAAAGGGGAGCGTGTTCCATCAAAATGAGAAGGAAAAGCATTTTACACAGTCGTGATGTCTTATGACCCTAACATAATTGTCTACTGTTTTGATTTTTTGGCTAATGATCCTCATAAAATGTTGTTGGGGTGTGGTGGAAATCATTTATTACCTAGCCAAGATTAGTTAAGTCACCAAGCTGTT